CCTTTCCTTTCCTTTCCTTTCCTTTCCTTTCCTTTCCTTTCCTTTCCTTTCCTTTCCTTTCCTTTCCTTTCCTTTTTCCTTTCCTTTCCTTTCCTTTCCTTTCCTTTCCTTTCCTTTCCTTTCCTTATGATCAAGTCCATACAGTTATCTTCAAAAAAAGGAAAAAATGGATCCAGGAAACTACAGACCTATCAGCCTATTATCGATACCTGGAAAGATTCTCGAAAAGATAATCAAGCAATGAATCTGCAAACACCTAGAGGCAAACAATGTCATAACTAAAAGCCAACATGGGTTTATAAAAAACAGATCATACCAGACAAACCTTGCATTCTTTGACAAAGTGACAAAATTAGTGGATCAGCAAAATGCTGTGGATATAATTTACTTGGATTTCAGTAAGGCATTTGATAAAGTAAAATACAATCTACTACTTGATAAGATACATCACTCACCAAATGGATTCGTAACTAGCTGGCCAACCACACTCGAAGTGTAGTCCTTAATGGAACTGCATCTACAATGGAGGGAAGTATACAGTGGGATATCCGAAGGCTCTACCTTAAATCAAGTACTTTTCAATATCTTCATCAGTGATTGAGATGAGGAGATACAAGGGGAACTCATCAAATTTGCAGACAACATCAAACTGGCAGGAATAGCCAAAACTCCAGAAGATAAGCTCAAAATACAGAAGGATCTTGAAAGACTTGAACACTGGGTCCTATCCAACAAAATGAAATTCAGTGGAGAGAAAAGTAAGGTTCTATATTTAAGCAACAAAAACCAAATGCACAGGTACAGAATAGGTGGTACATGGCTCAATAGTAGTAACTGCAAGAGGGATTTTGGAGTCCTAGTGGACAATCACTTAAATATAAGCGAGCAGTGTGCTGCTGTTCTAGGCTGCATTAAGAGAAGAACAAAATTAAGATCACATGAACTGTTAATACCACTTTATAATATCTTGTTAGAACCACACTTGGAATATTGAATCCAGTTTTGGTCACAATATAAAAAAAGATGTGGAGATTCTAGAAAGAGTACAGAGAAAAGCAACAAAGATGATTAGGGGACTGGAGGCTAAAACAAGAAGAACAATTACAGGAATTGGGTATGTCTTGTTTAATGAAAAGAAGCAAACTGACATGATAGCAGTGTTCCAATATCTAAGGGGCTGCCACAAAGAAGAGGAGGCAACCTATTCTCTAAAGCACTTGAAGGCACGATAAGAAGCAATGGATGGAAACTACTCAAGGAGAGAACCACTCTAGAACTAAGGAGAAATTTCCTAACAGAACAATTAATCAGTGGAATAACTTGACAATGAAAATTGAGATGAAATTTCCGTAAGTCATTCTCCTAGTTAATGTGACTTTGGTTGCATCTGAAAGGAGGGAATTTGGGGGAGGAACAAAAAATGTAAGTAGTTCTGCTGGATTGGACCCTGGTCCAGCTATTACAGCCCTGCATGAGGAAACCCACTCAGTGAGCAGCCAAGCTGGTAACCAGCACATCATCTCCTGGTAGCAAATCCCCAAATTTAAGTATGCACTGTGCAAAATATTACTACTATTACTACTACTACTACTAACTACTACTACTACTACTATTACTATTACTATTATTATTATTATTATTATTATTATTATTATTATTATTATTATTATTATTATTATTATTATTTACATAAAAATGACAGTATACACAGCAAACGAGATAACCATGCTGGATTTCGTATCTTTTTGTCCATCCTGATTCCTCCAGGGTTCAATTTCATTGGTGATTTCTGGTTGTAGGTTTTTTTTTGGAAACAATTTCTCCTTGTCCACTTCATCCAGTCAGTGCATACTTTTGCACGTCTCAGTAACTTTTCTTCTCATTTGCTTCTTTTCTAGTTTAAAAAGCCGGAAATGTTGCAACATTTCCTCATAGGGAAGGTGCTCCAGCCCTTTTGATAATCTTCATTACTGAAACCTTCTCTACTTCCACTTAATTTAATGCCTTGCTTGAAGTCTGTGGGCTGCATTAGAACGAGAGGCTGAAGATTTCCCATTTTTTCACTAGCTGTATCCTTAATGACAAGGATGTTTTTAGTATTCCCTAGAAATGTTGGCAGCATTCTGGAGGAGAAGAGAATTCTGACTAAATCTAGTAAAATAGTTGTTTTGTGACTGGCAGGACATGCTATGTCAGTTATTCTGTGTACAGGGAAGTTTTCCGGAACAGCCATCTTGTGCGAGTGCCTATAACATCAGCCTATCTCAATATGATCTGCTTCTAATTATGCTTATATGGTTCTGCAGTCAAAAAGAGTTATAAAGTCTCTTCTGCATGATGATAATGACCTCTAGCTTCTATTCCTAGACTAGTATCCAATATACAATTCTCTGCCCCCTTTTAGCATATAGTATTGCAAGTGACAGAAGCAGAGATATGAAATTAGGTCCACTGTGACACTGTTGATTAAAGTGAATGGCATCCCAGTTAATGTAAATGTCTTACCATTGTAAAATAAAATGTGTATGACACATGGGGGGAAAATAAAATACAGATGTACATATCCCCAATGCATATTTGATTTCAAGTGAAGGAGACATCCTATGAAGCAGACATTCACAAGCACAAAGATGGGAATGTTTTCAAAACAGTCTGTTTGGAGAGAGATAAAAACTCAGAAGTTGATAGAAGTTCCAGTTGACTAGAAGAGCAAACATTAAGATTTATTATTGATTTATACTTATTGTTCCATCTTTTCTCTCTTTTTTGGCAATATAAAAATGTGTGAAACATGCAAGTGTGTTACAAGAAAATATGACATGAACAGCCAGGGCAACTATAGGCAGAGGTGCTCGATTTTGGAAATAAGATGATGGACTATGAATACTTTAGAGATAAATAGAAGAAATCTAGGACAGGAGAAATGGGAAGCGAAGAGAAGGAAGGGAAGCCAAAGGATTATGTCTGCATAGATCCAGGGCAACATTCAAATGTCATACTATTTAAAGCTTAGCTCTTGTCTACAAAGTTTTGTCTGTGAATTAAGCCATGAAGATTTGGATTGCTATTGATGTTCTTGTAGGATTAATTGTACTATAAACGTTGACATGAAAAAGAAGAGCACAGATCATTAGAAATCAAGACATGGCAATGATGCAAGTTTTTAATTAATGCTATCTCACAGCAAGTGATTTCCCAGGGGAGTTAAGGCGATGTGTAGTAAATGGTATGTCCTACTATGCAGGCATCCATCCTTAGACAAACACAACGGTGTGGATGTCTGAATTATTGCATAAAAGCTGTCTGGAAGACCAAGCAGTGCAATTAAATCTTCTTGCCTGTGTGAACCTTTACTACAGGTCAAACAAATCTAATTTTTATTGTTCCTTAAGGAGATGATGTCTATGCGGAAGACAAAGAAGGAATATAGCAAAGACCTTTAATGAAAAAAAAATGTTCACGAAAATGCCACAGCAACTAAGATAAATTGTATTGTAGCAGGGGTTCACAAGTAATTGATGACTTATGTGGTAATGCTTTGGTAGCCAGACTGATCTGTGATAGATCTCAACTGAACTGGAGGAACCTTTCAAGGAGAAAAACAAGGTTAACTTTTAGTAACAATAGTAACAGTAACAGAGTTGGAAGGTGCCTTGGAGGTCATCTAGTCCAACCCCCTGCTCACGCAGGAGACCTGTATTAGGGATTCGAGCCGCTGAACTGCGGACCTTTCTGATTGACAAGCTCAATGTCTTAGCCACTGAGCCACCTAGTCAGGTTAACCTGAATAAAGAAAAAAAGATTCAAGAGATATATGGCAAACTTGCCACTGCCTATTATATGACTTTGTTCTGCAAAATATAAAAACAATAATATAAACAATGGACAGAAAACATTTTGATATGATTGGCATAAATCGGAGAATAGCATAGCCAGCTAGGCACATACACATTCACAATATGGAAATACTTTTCAAAGCTCCTAGAATTATACAACACCATAATCCTGATTGTAAATGGTATTTAGTGCTGCGATAGTTAATAAGAAATATCATATTTATGGACTCTCTCCATTTCTCAACATGTCAGGTCTCTGGCTTTCAAAAGCTACAGCTGCTAGTGAAGCAATAAGATTAAGTGAACCTTTGAGGACAGATTTATGCAAATAAATTTTTCTCCAGTAAGTGTCACATGGGGTCTAACTCAGTAAGGGAGAATATTTCAAAGATGCCACCTCTTATTTAGACCCACTAAATTAGATGAGATTAGTGGTCAAATAGGCACCAGGCCAAATTGGAGCAATATTGATTTATCCTACATTTATTGTTGGCATTCTTTTTTACTTTTAAAGCAGGAAAACAAGAAACTTTCACTCACCGTGCAAAATTTTAGTAGCACAGAGGCGATGTAACTGTGCTAATCTTCCTAGGAAGACCACTTAGAAAAGTTAAAACACAGATTGGAAAGCATATAAGCCGGTTGACCCTATATGCTATTCAGCATGGAATGCATATTGATTCCAGTGGTGGGTTGCTCCTGGTTCACAAGAACCGGTAGTAAAAATTTTTAGTAGTTCGGATACTACCCCGCCCACCTCATCAGAGGCTTTTTTTTTTTACTTTTAAAAGTATTTTTTCTACAACCTCTTTGGCTGAAAAAATACTTTTAAAAGTTTTTAAAAAATGCCTCTGAAGATCGCGCGGCTCAGCCGGGATCGTCAGAGGCTTCTGAAAGCATTTTTTCCAACCTTTTCAGCCGAAGAGGTTGTAGGGAAAAAAAAAATCCCTTTAAAAGCCTCTGGTGATCCCAGCTGACTTGCCTGATCCTCAGAGGCTTCTAAAAGCATTTTTTTCTGCAACCTCTTAAGGTTGTAGGAAAAAATGCTTTTAAAAGGTTTTTTAAAAAAAAGTTGGCCATGCCCACCCATTCACATTACCCCAAGCCACGCCCACAAAATAAGCCACGCCCACAGAACCGGTAGTAAAAAAAATTAGAACCCACCCCTGCTCCATGTGGTCTCCAACTCAGTGGCTGCTGCTTCTTGCCTGGGAGAGAAAATCTTTCAGAGCATTAAACAAAGGTAAAAGGGAAGCAGGGGGAGGGGGGGGAAGAGAAGGAGAGAAAGAGGCTTTTATTTGCTTGCATTGGAGGCTGGAGGCTTTTGTTTTCGTTCGCTCCGTGTTCCTCCTTCATGCAAAAAAAAAAAAGAAAAGAAAAGAAAAGAAAAGAAAAAAAGCCCGATCTGATCTGGAGCCGAATGTCATTATAAGCAATGCTGTCAGCTTGGAGCATTTCATTTCAGTCTTTAACTGGGCAATGAATTGAACCGCCTCCCCTAAAACAGATACAATGTGGGTTGTTTGTTTGTTTTAGCAACGTGGATTGTTTTCCTAGGGCAGGGGTCTCCAACTTTGGCAACTTTTAGACTTGTGGACTTCAACTCCCAGAGTTCCTCAGCCAGCTCTGCTGGCTGAGGAACTCTGGGAGTTGAAGTCCACAAGTCTAAAAGTTGCCAAGGTTGGAGAGCTCTGCCCTAGACGACTTTAGGAGCAAAGTGGTGGGTTTTGCTGGCATTTAAGGTGGAAAGGAAAGGAGGGAGGAAGAGAGAAAGAGAGAAAAGAGAGAGAAAGAAAGAAATGGAAGGAAGGAAGGAAGGGAGAGAAAGAAAGAAAGAGAAAAAAAGAAGAAGAAAGGAAGGGAATGACCACAAACCCTGGCATTAGGCGTGGCTTCAGAAGAAGGCTTTGAAATAGGATAGCAATCTAGGGCTGGAAGGGATCTTGGAGGCCATCTAGTCCAACCCCCTGCTCCAGCAGGAAACCTTATATGTTCTAGATTGTTTTGGTGCCTCCAACAGAGAGGAAAATTGCCAGAAAGGAAAAGGAGTTTACTAGGACAAGGCTGCCATGCAGAGGAAGGCAGAGATAGTCCTTGACTTATGACCACAATTGAGCCCAAAATTTTGGTTGCTAAACAAGAGCCTTGTTAAGTGAGTTTCACCACATTTTACTCAATCCATGACCTCTCCTAGCTCTAACAGTCATGTGCAAGCTAGGTAAGGAAGAATATCTGAAGGTGTGTGTAATGTTCTAAATGTATAGAAGTTATAGTTAAATGTGTGGCAGAAAGTGGATTCTGGGTGTGTTTTTCCAAATGTAGTAAGTGAGGTTGAATGTGTATAGTTTTAAAAGAGCTCTCTCTGTGTGTACATACACATACAGTATATATAGTAGATAATGTATCTTTTTGTGTGCCTATATACACTCTATACTATGTAATATGTATATACACATATGGCATATGTACATAGGATTAAATAGTATATTTTGGATGTTCAGTAGTAGTAAATAAATAGACAGGGAAATTGTATCTCGTTGAGGCCTTTGAGGTGAGGAGAGGCCAGGCACCCTAACCCTAACCCTTGACATGAGTGATGTCAGGTTGGCCACGCCCACCCAGTCACATGACCACCAAGCCACAGCCACCAAACAAGCCACGCCCACAGAACCAGTAGTAAAAAAAATTGGAACCCACCCCTGGTACAGACTGTGTATTTGTGCAAGTCCTCACAATTGGTGATCCAAATAATAAACACATTTGTTTGTTTGTTTTTCTGTAACAATAAAATTGCTCTCATTGCAATGAGCCATTGACCTATTGAGCAGTTATATACACAAAGGTGCTAAAATGTCTTTGTGCTAAATAGCATTGAGCACAGGTAGGCCTCAACTTATGACCACAATGAGGCTGATATTTCTGTTGCTACACAAAACAGTTGTCAAATGAATTTTGCCCCATTTATATGTCCTTTCTTACCACTGCTAAGTGAATCACTGCAGTTGTTAAAGTTAGAAACATGGTTGCTAAGTGAATCTGGCTTCCCTATTGACTTTGCTTGTCAGAAGTCACAAATTTGTATTATTTGATCATGAGAATGCTACAATTGTTGTAAGTGGGGAAAAATGGTCATAAGTCAAAGACACACGGAACACTGTTACCTTCCCACCAAAGGTGGTCCCCATTTTTCTACTTGCATTTTTACGTGCTTTCGAACTGCTAGGTTGGCAGAAGCTGGGACACGTAACAGGAGCTCACCCCGTTACACAGCACCAAGGATTTGAACCGTTGAACTGCTGACCTTTCGATTGACAAGCTCAGCGTCTTAGCCACTGAGCCACCGTGGTTTTAATTAATTAATTAAATTAATATTTATTATTTATTTATTAATAATATTAATTAATTAAATTAATATTAATTTAATTAATTAATTAAACCTAGATTAATGCATTAGATTTTTTTTTTCAATGGAGTACCTACTTTTCTACTTCAGATAAAAATACAATTGTTTATTTGTAGGCTGCTCTTACCCATCTCCCTAAATTAAAATATGTTCAGTGTTACTTGGCTCTGTGGTCTGTTCAGGAGAAGAGCATAGATCCTTCAGCCTTTTTCCTTGAATATGTCAAGGGGGGGAAAAAAGACAGATCTTGGCAAGCCAAGGAAAAGATAATCGATTAAAACTTTTGCTTAAAAAGAGACACATAGCCGGAGGCAGATCTTAAGTTTTATTACCCCCTTCCATCCTCTAGCATCTCCAACGCAGGAGGTTTTTAAGAAGACAGCCAGTGGAATGGTATAAGGGTCTCCTGCTTGGGCAAGGGGTTGGCTTAGAAAACCCTTCAAGTCCCCTTCCAACTCTGTTATTCCATTCTTCATTTTGCAAAGAGTTAAGAAACCGTGGGTGGGGAAACGATGGTGGCGGCCAGGAGAAAAAAATTGCATTTTCGGGAAAGGGGCGCCTTATTCTAACAACTCCCCCCCCCATCGTATTTGAGCACGAGGCAGGAGGTGGGGGGAGACTTGGGGGGGGGGGGCTCTTGGTCAAGAGACCAATCAGAAAAGGCATTGACAAATGCCCTCCTGCCAAGGGAAGAAAAGGCGTTTTTCCCCCCCTGGTCACGGCGGCTCCCGACAGAGAAGGCCGGAAATTGCCCTGTCAGGAACCCCGGTGGGTCGCTCAAGCGTGTGGTGCCCATTGCTTTTGACCACGGCTTGCTTGCTTGCTTGCTAAGATCGTGTTTCACTTTCAGGCAAGTAAGTAAGCTTTCACTTTCCAACGCAAATAATAGGTTGTGTATCAGAGCGTCCCTGTTTTCAGGAAACCCTCCTCTTGCGGTGCATTGCCCAGCCTTTCCGTAGAGGATAAAAATATGCCAGGTTCTCCCCCTCCCCCGCTCCTCTCCACTCTTGGGCTGGGGAAGGGCTGGTCCTGGGATCCTCCTTCCTCCGCCTGCGACCCGGGTGGTTTTCTTTGGCTCGGCTTCCCCCGCGTGTATGCCCCGGGCAAAAAAAAAAAAAAAAAAAGTACGGTAGAAATTCCTCTTCTCTGCTCTGCTCGTAGAGTAAGAGCAGAGCCATTGCATGCTAGTTAAATCTTTTTCAATCGTTTTAAATCCAATTAAATCGTTTTTAATTGGACACCAGATGACCCAGCCTGGGAAACAGGTGAGAAAATACAGTAATGGGTAAAGCGAAAAAAAAAAATCAGGGTTAATTAAGGCGAGAGCAAAGTCCCTCGCAGCTTCCTGGGGGAAAAATAATAATAACCCAGACCGGATGGCTGGAATGAAAGTCCTTGTCAGGGGCATTTTCTTTGCTTCATTTGTTAGATTGCTTTCTTGGCTTTCCTGCAGGAGCTCAAAGTAGTTTGGTCTCCAAAATACACAGTCCTCCAACCCCTAAGTTGCACTGAGTGGGACAGCCCCAAAACCACACAATGGCTCTCCAAGGCTAAGAATCAAGTTGATTTGGATTTTCCCCAAGTCTGGTTCACCCTTTCAATACTAGACTACACCTGCTTTTTAGGAAGGGAAGGGAAGGGAAGGGAAGGGAAGGGAAGGGAAGGGAAGGAAGGAAGGAAGGAAGGAAGGAAGGAAGGAAGGAAGGAAGGAAGGAAGGTCACTTGCGGGATTCATGCATAGTTACCCCTGCTCAAGCATGTTTTACGTAGACAGGTTTGTAAGTTTGCATGACAACTCAGAACCAAAATCTAATTTGACTGGTTATGTTGACAGGACACAATTGGTGAAACGCAGTTGGCTCATTTCTGGTCCAATGGCTTCAGCATTTTCTCATAGATTTTGTTACTTGCTTCAAAAAGTTGAAGATAAGGTTATCAACTGCAGAACTATTCCTAATTCAATAGGGAAAGGAGGTTAAAAGCAGTCAGAAACTTGGGGGGAGGGGACCGTCATCTTCAGAAACAAGATAGTGCAGAAAGAAAAATTAGAACATAGTCACACTTGATTTTAGGATAGACAACTTGAGCAAGCTAGAGAAGTATTGAGGTTAAAGGGAATTACAGAAGAGTAGAAGATTTCTTGAAAACAAGTTATTCTAAACCATTCTCCATTTCTTTTGAGTGCAGAATTGTACACTCCAGTCACAAGAAAAAAATGGGGGATCTTAAGAAATCATTGTAGACCAAAGGAAATTTCCACTGAGCTAGAGTTTTAAGGAAGGAAACGTCTATAGGGAACAAAATGAGCATTATCCTCAGGGAAGCACAGAAGCAAGTAGCTAGTATCACCAGAAAGAAAGTTAGGCTGATGTAGAAAAGGAGTTTAGTTTCAACTAGTGAAGAACAGCAATTGGGGTTTGGGGCTATGTCAACTGAAAAGTAGAAGCAAAGGAGTGCACTTCCTGTTCATTGAAGAGGGGATAGTAGCAAGTGGTAAAAGGACTAATCTCAACTTCTAGTTTGCTTCTGTAGCTGAAAAGTAGGGTCAATTTACATAGACTGAATTTCAGAAGACTAAAAAGTCAAGGAACAAAGAAGTGGTTGTAAGAAGGGTATTTCTTTTCTTTTCGATTCCCCCCACTGTATTTCAGCTCTTCTAGTTTACCATCTGTGTTCATACAATTTAGAGGAGCAAATCCTCTAATATATCTGGTATACCTGCTCCTCTTGCAATTCAGTTGATAAGTCTTTAAATTAAATAATTAAAGCTAATTAATATCAGTCTTTACCTTTCATATAGAGTTGAAAGACTGCTACTGTATATGTGACTGCCTACCACATTTATCTTG